TTTAGCCAATGTTCGCTAATGTATTGTGACATTGTGAGAAGAAGGATCCCACATGTGGGCGCGACTTATCACTTTGGATTTGCCAGGCCGCAGTCAGCACACGGGCTATTACTTCAGCAAAGATCCACGGGGAAGAGATTCCACAATCTGCTCACATCAGAGTCTGTGACACCACCCCAGCTGCTCATGAGCACAAGCCTAACAAAAACTATTGGCCTATTACGAATTTTACCTCAGTTGCTCCTCAATTATTGTAGAAATAAAAACTAAGAAATTACAAAAATAAATAAATAAATGGTAGAACTGTGTTTCTTTGGCACCTACTTTCGGATTCTAATTTAAACTTTTTATAATTTCTCGCCACACAATATATATCCGGCTTTAAGATTCCAATCAATCAAAATAGGTAAAAAAAGAAATTTAAAAAGTTAAAAACTTTATTAGTACTTTATTTATTTTCCCTGGATCATCCAGCCTAATGTGCACATAGTAATAAGCAGAATTGTGAATGAAGGACGTAAGGATAGATCATCAGTCCATCACAGACACACAGGAATGGCAAGCATGCACACACTCATTTCTAAGGGCAATTTAGATCAACCGATTAGCATCACAGCTACGTTTTTGGACTGTGAGAGGAATTCGGAGCAGCCAGAGAGAACCAGAACATGCATGCAAACTACAGGGTATGCTTCACAAAACAGATGGCATGATGTGGAGCACAACAACAGCCTAAGATGTAAAGCTTGGGTACACACATGGGTCTTTTCAAGTGGGCAATCTCCTTAAATATACCGTCATGTTATCTACAAAGTGGCTCACAGACAACAAAGTCAATATTCTGGAGTGGATGCAAAGCTCTGAACTGAGTTTCAGAAAGTTTGTTGGCAAGGAAACATACAAACCTGACTCAGTCACGTCAGTTCTGCCTGAACAAGTGGGTCAAAAAAAAAAAAAAGAAAAAAAAAATCAGCAAACTATCGTGGCGACCTTGTAAAAGGATACCCAAAACATTTGACCCAACAGCAGTTCTACAAAATATTAAGTACCTGTATGTAGACTTCAGAATTTGAATTAGCAAATAGAAATAATTTTAATCATTCTAAATGACATTGAAAAGAAGAAAATGTTCAGACTGATTTCTTGTCCGACAAAGAAGAAAAACAGCTATTGTTGTGCTTTTACACAGTGTATGTAAATATACGGTCTTAACTGTAAATTAGATGTAAAATGTTCTGTCGTGGACACTGACACGCCGAGCGTGAACATAAAGGCACAAAGCCAATGTCAGGTTTTGAAACCTGACATAGATTTAAGGGCCAGGGGACATCGTTGTTTTCTTGCTTCTTCATGCAAATTAATTTACGGGTATACAGCCTCATGAAAAGAGAATTTAAGTCGTTGGATTTAATGATTTAGGTCACCCATGCCTCCAGCAAACATTTGTGCCCTCTTTGTTTCAAAAATATTCCTGCACTCTGAAGCTTTAAGCACAGCGTTGTTTGCGGGGGAAAATGATGCCACACAGGGGGCATCAAATTAGCCTTTTACATGAGTTCATTTTTACACTGATTTGCATACAAGAAGCCGAATGTGTCGAACTCATACTGAGCAAGGGCAACAACCTGCAGCACAAAAACAGGAGCCGTTTGTCACCACGCTTTAAGATTATAAACACATTTACAACCAAACGGCTGCAAATCAAAGTAAAACATAAAAGAGGAAGATTCATCTCCCACTTTGTGGACTATTAGCGAGGACGATTTGTAGCACTCATGTGGGAAATTAGATCAGTCCAAAGTCTTTGGGTGCAAACAGAGAAGGATCTGTTTGTTCCATCTGCTTGGATGAGTAACACTTGCAAGCTGGTAGTGAGCTTGCTTAGGCAACTCATTGCCTCAAAGTAAAGATAAGGGTGGGAAACAGAACCGTGACGCTGAGCAGAGCTGACATTTGCACCTCGAGCCCAATGCCTCAGAGCGGCCAGCATGCGCGTGGAGCACAAAAATGTTTATCACATACAAGGAGATGAGAAGGCAGAAGACTTCCATAGGCGAGCATTTACAAGCAGAGTGACCCAGGAGGCATGTACACACTTCTGCACAATCATGTTGCTCCAAGAGGAGCAGCGATGCTTGACCCCCAACTTAAGGCAGAGACAGTGAGGAGGAAATAATGCTGAGGAGGAGGGAAGAGGATGCCCAAGAGGAGGGAGACTACAAGGACCCTAAATAAAAACGACGGTTATGTAAAAAAAAGGTCTTAGTCATGAAGGTTTCATGACTAAGAAACCTTCATCCTAAACACACTCTGAAGCATGCAGCAAATAGTCCGACGCACAAAGACTTGCACCGATTTTCTACTGCAGGACAGTGTTTGCCCGCACACACAAAGAGATCCAGGATGTTTGAAAATGTCCTTTCACATAACGTTTAGGCGCGTTTCTTTCATAAATCAACAGGGAACGTGGTGTGCATGAGAATATACTGGGGACCATTCTGTTTTAATATACACTTAAATGTAAGTATATCCTTTCTGCATGATTTAAAAGTGGAACTTCGAGTTGAGCTTCTAAATGAGACACACAAAAAACAAAAAGCTCGACAGCAAGCATTATTTTTTTTTAGTGCTAAACACTGCTTATGTGGGTTACGCAGAATAATACTATAAATGAATGAAGTGTATCAGACATAGCATAAGACTAAAGCATTTTAAATATTCAGCATGAATTTAGGTATAAATCCCATGAAGAGAGGACATTTTGAGGTCACATTGTGTTCATTTATTAAGTATAAACTCATCCCACAGTGCACCAGTTTGTAGTCTTTTCCCAACTATGCCGTTTCCTAGTAGAACTGAATTGTGCCATTAAAATAAATTCCACAATCTAGTGAAGCATACATTGATTTTATTGTAAATGTACAAAATCAATAAAACAAACCAAATTTATATAAAACTGGAGAAAACAATTAATTATTGATGTGTTGACATCCAGAGGGCCATATCACGCTAATTTCATGTTACTTGCAAAGTGTTAAATTATCAATACACGATGTACAATCAAACAGAGGAATCACTTGTAACCTTGCTCTAATAGGGTTAATAATGGGAGTTCCCAAGCCACTCAAAGTGTTCGCTCGCTCCGCGTGATCAAGCCCGACCCTGATGTTGCAACACGGTGCTTGGCAACGAAATGCAGATTTCCTGTTAGCTTAGTAACAGCTGTTAAGTTTTTAACTTTGGGAGACTTGAGTTTTGATTGCTACTGTATCTCCGCATATGAACTCCATCAGAAAATCAAGGTAAGCACAACCCGAGTTACAGTTCGTCTTTCTTTACATCATTACATTGGCTAATGTTTGAGAACAGAAGTCTGCTTTTGCTGCACAAAAGTGATGTTTGATGGGACAGCAAAAGAGGGAAAAAAAAATAAAATGTACAAAACGAGCTGATGTGGATCCGAAATAGCTACAAGTGCGAGACACCGATGCCATTCAGAACCGTCGCAGACCATACATGAAAGAAATAGTGCACTTAATTAAAATGTCAGGGATGCCAGGCCACTGCAGACTCCCAGGATCCATTGTTATAGTTCAATGTGGAAGGAAGGATGCCTCAAACAAAGCAATGTTGCTATAAACAGCCACTCCTTACATTTTCCATGTACAAATCCTTTACAGACAGCTTGGCACGTGCCAAAAAGCAGTCATGTCGACGCTGGTGACAACCCAACTCTGCTGTCTTATTCCCTGTTTTATAACTCATTTTATCCTTTCAGTGCATGATTGTAGCCATTACATGTTAAGAAACATTCAAGACCAAAGACAGTTTAAAAAAAAAAAAGAGTCCAAAATGATTTAAGCCTTAAGGTGTCTTTTTTTTTTTTTGCAACAGCTTATGCTGGTTTGTGTAAACCAAATACACTGTGCACCAGGAGTGAAGCTGGTGCAATGATTAAGCTGTATTCCTCTATTTTCCACACCATTGTGTCGCATTGGATAAAACTATATGTTAAATTATTCCAGTCTAAGAAATGCACCAGCACAGGGAAGCTGTATGTCCAATGCCACATTACGAATGCAGTGTAATGATAAACTGCGTACCCCTTCCACATCAAGAGGCAATTTTTGATCGCACAGAAAACAAACCAGGGAGGAGCTGAGAAGAACAGACAGCTCAACCAGCAGAATGCCCCCCCGCCCCGTGTTTGCTGGATCTCCAGCTAAAAGGAGCACAGAATTAAACATAACTTCTTATTATACTTAACTATACTCTTAAAATAAATTGATTTTCAGCATTACAGTAAAATGGATGCGTTTCTTTTTCTCTTTTTTTTCCTCCCTGTTTCCTACATGGACCAGATCTTTTCCCTGGTGCAGTTGGGTGCATTATATGCATGGCATACTTATCAACACTTCATTTTAATCAAACTGCTTTCAGCAATTTTTTTTTTGAAAAGATAACATTTTGAAAAGAGATGTCACTCCTTTTGAGGCATTTAATTTCACATGAAACAATTACACTCAATAAATGGCATGTTCTAGAGTCTGTAAACTCCTATTAATGATTAATTGTTTACTGAATTAGCTGATTTTTTTTATTTTAGATTACTGTAATCATCGATTCATCATGATTAATCCAAGTAATCATTTCAGACATACTCATAAAGCTACACCTGCAATGTTTGTCTTCAGGCATTTCAATGCATCAGAGTGGCCCAGTCAAAGTTCAGACCTAGATGCAAATGAGAATTTGAGAACTTTGGCTTTCAAACTTGGACTCTATTAAATCCCAACAAAATATAAATAAGCCTGTGCTGGCAAAAATGATACCATATGAAAACATGAACAGTTTTGGAATTCTAATATTAAATTTTGAGTCAAATAGTGCTTGTTGCAAATGACAATTGTTTTCAAACCACGATTAAGAGATGCAGGAAGCAACAGCTGCTGACATACTATGGCTTTATGCATGAAAGAAGAAAAATGTGCAATACTTACAACCATACCATTTAGGGACACCCAGCAGTCAGGGGGAAAGTCTTGGAGGAGAGGCACCAGATACTGGAGACAGCCATCCCAGTGACACAGAAGCAGCATCATCCCTATCAAATTAAATATTCTTACCACCGCACTAGCCAGATCATAGGTCATATGGAAAATCTGGAAGACAAAAGCAGAGACACAGACCTCAGTTAATACATTACAGTCTGGACATTTATACATACAACTGGTGTTATATTCGAAAAGATTTTAAGTAATAAGCCCCTTTCTAAGCTGATAAATTTGGCTGCGTAGGGGATGTATGTGTGTATCTGCACTCGCAGAAATTGGGCTGTGCATAATTCAACATGGCTGCTTTCCAAAGCAAACAGAGCCGTCGAGGAAACACACATCCAGCGCAGAGGACAGCAGGTAAACGCAGCGTAAATGAGCTGGATGATGAAGAGAGCGCATGGCTGTAGAGTAATTAGTCGGTTTGTGTGTGTCACTGGCATAAGCAGGAGTCGACGTTTACGGCCGACGCGGCTGTTTGATCTCGGCGCGAAAGTTTTCAGAACAAGAAGTTATCGGCGGCGTGAAGAAGCGAGGGAAGCTGTGCCATTTACGTCGGATCAGGCCAAGGTGAATCGACTCACGCCTGGGTGACCACAGCGCTCCTTCAGAGCTTCTCATTAGCATAAGAAATCACCATTAGCATGAGAAACCAATTACTTACTTCCAGGTTAGTTAGGTCACAATCTTCTTTATGCTGAGGCTCAATTTCTCCTTGCCAAAAAAAAAAAAAAAAAAAAAAAGGCTTAAATTAGGGGAAATATGGCAGCCAATTGGTCTGCTTTGCCTAATAAACCTGCATAATTTTTCAACTTTAAGCTCATGATTTCAGGCAATTACGATCTATTTAAAACTAATGGCTTTCCATATTGCATGAAATCACCATTTTATTTGTAAGAATTGAGTTTCAATTGGTTTGCCACATCATGAAATGATTGTGAAGATTTTTCTTTTAAATAAAAAAAGCTTCTGTTTAAGCTTATTTAAGTTTAAATCTGAAGTAGCTGATGGACTTCAATTAATTCACCACTTCATGCAAAGTGGTTACTGCACTAGACAGCTATGCACAGTTGTTGATGGTGCCGACACCTACTGCCATTGTGACTAACACACTTCTTTAAACAAACCTCAAATTGTGAGCAACTCAGAAATATAATATATTGCCAAAAAAAGGTTGTTTTTTTTTTTTTTTTTTTTTTTTTTTTACCAATATTGATACTGTAATGTCATTGAAAATACTTCACAAAACTAATGCATTTGAGCTTATTCTTGTTATTTGATGGTAACTTAATATTTTTTGCTGAGTAGCTGCAGCATGCGAGTTAAAGTGAGTAGGTTTTTTTATTGTTTAAGAGAAAAGAGACAAAGACCTCCGTAGTTGGCAAGTGGAGTTAAAATCTGTGTCAAACATAGAGGATAGTAAATCTGTATGATCATTTCTTGGAAAAGGAGTAACTGAAACATAATGGATGTATGGATGGCGCTACAGAGGCTGAAATAGCTGAAAATGCAGAGGATGAGTTAATTATAGTTTTATTAATTTATACAACTTGTTCCTATTAGAATAGTTCTGCACCGTTTTGTTCTCTTCTGGTTTATATTTTTCCTACATTTTCATAGTGAATCTCTCTCTCTCTCTTTTTTTTTCTTACTCCTCATATACAAAGTTCTTAAAAGTGAACCCCACGTCGACAGTATTCTGTGATCTGAGCCACTTTTTGTTTATGTTCAAAACTCTGCTTGACCAAAGCCCAGGTGTCGTTAAAAGCTCTTTGAATCCACAGTTCCCCACCTCCGTCTATTGTGACTGGCCTGTAACCCCACACGGCACGAAGAACAATGTCCACACACAGAACAGAAAGGAGAGGCAGGGCCCAAGTCGGCGCTCAGATCCCTCTGTGGTTCAACTCATCCGCAGGGAGACACAGTGCACTGCCCTGAAAGGCTAAAATTAGCCACCGGCTTACAGGGTGGCTGTCTCAGTGCACCTAACATCTTCTCCTCACACCCAATTTAGAACACATATCACTGACTCGGCTGAGGTCGTGTTTAGATTAATTAGAAGTGTGTGACATAAGAGGATAACACAACATTCAAGCAAGAGGTAAAACAAAGGAAAAACAGGCCAAGGAGCAAAGCTAATGCCTTGCCTGCTCATTCCCCTTTGTGAATACACAAAAAGCACAACGAGAATTGATGGAAACACGATGAAGGTTGGGACAAGGTTTCCCAAAGTCCCAGTGACCGTCTATAACTTTGCTGGAAAGTTTCTACGACCTTTGACTTGTGCTGCGTTCCAAAGGTCAGAGGGGGGTCATTAACAATTGCTACTTTCAGATGACTAGGTCATTGTGAAGTAAATATTTGAAAATATACCAAAACTCACGTAAAGGTAAGTCGAATGTCCAGTTTTCCTAAAACTTGGAGAAATCTCACAATAATCAAGACAATTCTAATTCCATATGAAACAGACACAATATGGTCTATGTCTGAGTAATATTGATTGTGTTTTTGTGGATGCCGTCTCATTACAAAAAATTGGGAGAGAGTTCAACATCTGTAGTATTATAATCGGAGATACTGAGAAATGGACAGCTGATTGAACAATGCATGATCATTTAATGCAGAAAGGCTCTGGATAAAGTATTTCCAATGTGGTTAGTGACAGTTTTTAAAACAGAAATCAGAATCACAGGAGAAAGCTTGAAAAAGTCAGAAATATGAAACAAGTACACATAATACTGGAGATGAGATGTTATGATTTATTTTTCTTTTATACATTTTGGACTTTTTATTGTTACACATAGCTATATTTTAGTTTGCAAAGAAAACCCCTTAAATGTACCTTTCTTGTCTCAGCATTTTGTGTAATAGATTCGATAGTATGAATCTATGATCTTATGCTGAGCGTCATATCCTGTGTTATTGATATGCTGTCGGTGCCCACAGAAGCCCTGTGAGTTACCGAGTTAATTTGATGATGCCCATCTCCGTTTAGCAGTTTGTATTTTTTTTTTAAACGCATTCAGTGCCATAAAAATGTTTCTTATTTCCTTCTGGGTATTTGCACAAAACAAAACAGAAGCGAGTAAGAATCCTTCTCTTGTGTTCAAACTGCTTCTTTCTCTCTTCGTATTTGCCAGGGAGCTGAATGCCAGCAGACATGTTGCTCCTCAGCAAGCAGCATGGCAGAAAGAACGGCTTATTATGTCATCAAAGTTTTAGTCAGTGTTTATTTTTTGGATTTCAAAAAACAAAAAAGGACAAGAACAGCTTCACAGCGAGCAAATGCAAACTCGGAATAGGTGACGTTACGCATCTATCAGATGTCAGGGCTTCGTGTGAGCCAACTCAAATTCATAACCCCTAATGGAAAATGATAATGCAGTGACTAACTAGCCACAGATCCCCCCATGCCAATGGGGGGACCCCCAATCTTGGCAGACTGTACTGCTGATATCAAAAGTCGGCAGCCATTGCTTGGGAAATGTTCCTGAAAAAAAAAAAAAAAAACACTCTGAAATGAAGCCTGATTTTTAACTTCCTAAAATGTGACTAGCAAAAAATACCGAGTCATCTACATTTATTTACTCCCCTGGTAACAGGATAAAAAATTTCACACCGAAATATATATAAAAAAAAAAAAAAACATTTAAGATGGGCTCCGTCATTCGGTGGAGGGAAAAAAAAAACTAATCAATAGTATATGCCTGACCTGAACAAGTTTTTCAAAATAAAAATGTATCTTTAATCACTAAGTTGTGATTTCCTGTTTTCACTGGATATGAATAGAAAATCACAGCGAACCTATTTCTCTAACCATCCTGATGTGAGAGAGGCATGAATATGTGTCACTTGAGTAAGGCAGACATGTGTTGGCCTGGAAATGGCAAGTGATAAGTAAAATGTTGAAAACTGGAGCTATGCTGGATGTCTCACATTGCACACACACAAACACACAGCTGGGAAGCACATTAGAGAGCAGAAGAAAATATCCAAAGATCACTGTCCAGCAACGGCAGTAAAGAGTGGCACCTTGGGGTCAGCAAGTCTCCACAGCTGGACTGATTGAGAGTTAAGACACTGAAAGTCCTGCGCTGACTCAAAGCCCAGGTCTCGATCTCATTGACATGCAGTGGGGCGACTTAAACGAGCCGCACACACAAAAAATCCCTTAAAAGCCTCAAAGCTGAAACTGAAAAAGACAATATAGCAAGATGAAACATGAACAAGTTCGAGGCTGCAGTTGTGCACATAGCAAGAACAGAAGTCGCTTTGCTACGAATAAAGCCTAAAAAGATAACTTGCAACATTTTTTTTTTTTCATATTAATAGCTGGTTGTGTTGACAATAACTCACAAAAAGCTGTCAACTACTGTCAAGCTTAGAAGTTGAAATCGTCTGCAAAGGTAGCTGGAGCAGAGAGTCAAAAGCACCATCAGCGTCTGCATGTATGGCAAAATGTTGGCTTAGAATTAAGTGCATAAAGCTTAGATTCCTCTGGGGACAGAGCTATTGGTCAACATAATCCTCTAATACTGCAGAGACAAACAGCCAAGATGTGATATGATAGTTAAACAAAGTCACATGCTGGTCATGGGTCACGTCCAGCCAGCAAAGCAAAGCACTTGCAGAACAGGACGAGAACAAACGCATCTCAACCCGACCAATAAGATGTCCAGTCCTTCCTCCTTCTATATGTGACATTTAAAAATACAATACTATAAGTTTAAATATGTCAACTAACTCATGTAACTGGGAATTAATTTTCCTACATTTTGTTTTTCTTTTTTTTTTTTATAACTGCATTCTGTCAGTTTGACCTTTAGAAATTATTATACACAAGAAAATAAATAAATAAATAAATAGCATGCTGGAGTTTTGCTCATCAACAACCAGTTGGTTCTGAATGTGCAACTACAAAGTGGCCTTTATGCATCTTTAAAATGAACATGAGTGACCTCTTTCCGAGGTTAGTGAGGATTAGCATGGGACTAATTTGATGGGATTAAATCCTCCACTGGCCATTACAAAATGCTTCCAAGAAAATCTGCAATTCTCCTGCTTAGCATCATCTTGTAAATCTCTCTTTGGAGGCCTCTTAGTTT